ATGCCATTGGACAATAACTAAGCTCGTATGTGTGCATGGGTGCGAGTGGGACAACAGCAGTGTGAGATGAGATGGCTCTATGTGGGCACGCCTCTCTCAGCAGAAAGCGAGCAGAGCACAAAAGCGCTCAAATTTCGTTTCGAGTTGAGCGGAATTACGACTTGCTGCTTGCTCGCTACTGCCTTATATAAATGAGCTGAGCTCAAATAAGTATAAATGCCTCGACGCGCGCGCCACAACAAAAATAAACATGAAATTATTTTTCTCTTTCATGCGTTTTTCGTATTTTTCTTTAGAATTAGTCGAAAGCAACTTTTTATTTAATTTGTAGACGCGTTTATTAGTATTTTATCTAAACACAAAATTTTTGTTTTGTTTTGTTTTGTTTTGTTAATGTGGCGACTGTGGCGTTTTTAATAGTGGCAGCTACCACAGTTTATGTACAAACACACACACACATATGTACGCACCATTATATACATATTAATTTTAATGTGTGTGTGTGTGTGTGTGTGTGTGCTCATGCTTGTGTTTTTGCGGTGGCATTTTGCCGGTTAAAGTTTGCCTTTTAATTTGAATCATTGTTATTTTGTGGTGGCAAATTATAGTCTATTAAAATTGATTATTTTTCATTAGATGCGCAGTGGAGCCACGCCAAGGGGGGAGTGACGGGGTGGGGTTAGGAGCCAAACAGCTGGTTGAGTAGGTAATTACAGACCACCAGCTCAGTCACAGGCAATTGATTGCGTGTGTAAATGTGTATGTGAATATATACATATTTGCTTGTGTGTATGTATATTTGTGTGCTTTAGGTTGACGCCAATGCCGACGCTGCATTTTCTAATAGTTTGGAAAATTGCCATGTGCTTTGATTATAACTTGCTGGGGGCTGAGAATGGGAGTTCATATGGGCATAGCAGAATGGCTGAATTGCATATTTAACGTTTATTAAGTTATTGCACGTATGGCTTGGACAGTTTAATATAAAAAATGTGGCAGTTGACGCGTGTCTGACAGTTCTAGTAAACACGACGGCCGGCTACTTAATGCCTTGCGTAGGCACGGAAATCATTAGGCGCCACAAACACATACATACATAAATATGCAGATGTGCTGGCTAGACAAAAAATGCTGCCAAAAACAAAGCCATGCTTCCGACACACCCACGGATCCATCCATATTAAATGGCTGCAAATTTTTGAGCTGAGCAAAAAGCCAAAGCACAAAACTTGCACAAACTTACACAGAGGTACGCACAACGACGGCGATCGAACGAACGACCGACCAATCCACCACAAAGCCACAAGAAAAAGAAGCGAACAAGCGTCAGCCATTTGCCATAATCATAAGCAGCCGCAATAGCAACAAGCCCATGTACAAGTACAACAATATGAGAATGTCCGACAGCCATTACTTAAAATACAAGTTCACATTATTTCACACACAAGCGGACAAACAGACATTTGGGGCGGCTAAAAACCAAGGCAAAGCAAAGTCAAGCGGCAACAACCCTCTGGTACCGCTGGTGGCACTTACTCCCTTCTCATTATTTACTTCACTGGTGCAAGATTACCTATCGAATCACTGGTGCACTTATGCTTTAGCTTCGCGATTGTGTTCCTTAGTGATGGAGAGAAGAAGAGGACGCACTTAACGTTCGCCAGTCAGAGAGAATGAGATGCGAGAAGAGCAGCACAGTGTAACTCTTCGATCTCTAGTTGATTAGTATTTGATCATTTTTCCATTAAATTATTGAATGAATACATTATTGAATCCATTAAATAGAGAATGAGATGCGAGAAGAGCAGCACAGTGTAATTCTTCGATCTCTAGTTGATTAGTATTTGATCATTTTTCCATTTGTCACTATATTTGTTTATTCCTTGGGTTTAAATGCATTGCGTGGTGAAGGAAATGTACATATATATATATATATATATATATATATATATATATATATATATATATAGATATATATATATATATATATATATATATATATATATATATATATATATATATATATATCTATATATATATATATATATATATATATATATAAATATATATATATATATATATATATATATATAAGCAACCAGCTAGAATATTGAAAATTGAAAAATGTGTGCATTGACGTTTTTTGTACTAGCTTTTTTTTTTTAAGCTGCGAAAGTTTCACGTTAAAACGTCAAAATGTTATTGAAATAAATTCAATATAAGACGATTTATTTCCTTTAGTGGCTGCAATATTCTCTATGTATGTGGTCATTAGGTTGTAAATAGTATGTTTTAAATAGAATCGTTGAGGAAATCCTAGCAAAGGTTTTTTCACATATTATCGTGTTCGGATATTTACAAATATGAGACGAAACAATATAGACCCTTTCTTAGGGTATTAAAATCGGAACATATAGTATACTATAACTGTAGGTCTGCTCCTTGTTGCCTTAGTCGATGGCATTGATGTCCACACTAATGCGCTTTTTGCGCGACCTGACGATGACTCCGAGTCTCGCACAGCAGGCGCCCACGCCCAATGGTGGCCGTAATGTAACCGTACAGTAATGACTATATAAAAGGAAAAAACGATAGATATGGCGCTGATTTGTATTATTTGTATACATACTAATAATCACACCATTGTTCAAAAAAAGTATTGAAATGTATAATATTATTGAAACATCAATCATAGCGTCTTTAAATTGAATTAAATGTTTAACTAACATTTTCAATAGATCAAAAACGTAAAAAACAATTGGTTGATGAGTGCATTTTATATACTTCAAATTAATTTCAGCCACCAACTATAGTGAATTAATTTTTCAAAATTTCCTTAGCATCCAAAGGAGCGCCGTAATGCGTGGATTTTAAACCTTAAAACCTGAAAATGTATATTCACTGCGCATAAAAGCGCGTTTAATATAAAATTTTGTAAGCGTTTATATAATATGTATAATATAAAATAATAATTTAAATTTAAATGAATATATTTAATTAATGCTCTCATATTAAGATTTCAATAATAGCCTGGTACAAGGGTATTTGTATGTAGCTTATAGTACGAACCAACAAGTTTATAAGTGCAAGTTTTAAGTTTTTTAATTACATAAAAAGTATAAAGTATAACAGAACATTAAGTATTGTTGTGGAGTTCTTTGTTGTTAAATAAACTGACAGTTTAAAGTGGTTTTCACAACTTCTGATAAATGAAGAACTGTGTGTATGTGAAGTGGACATAAAGTAAAATGAACTGGAATTAAATTGTAATATTTTTATTCATTTACTGCAATCGCTAAAAGCCTAAAGTGCTTTGCAATATATGGACATTGATTCCATTATTGTTTCTCGTAGCCTAATTAACACTGTAGTAGTCACTGCAACGCCTTTTTTGCTGCACTGCACAAGACACACGGCCATCACTGCCTGTGTTGCCACTAACTAGCACGAGTAAGTAGCGAAGGTATGTGTCCCCACATATACATATGTATGTAACCATTATGTGTGTGTGTGTGTGTGTGTGGTGATGTGTGTTTGCTTACAAGGACAGTCCAGGCCCAGGCGCGGGTCCGACAGAGACGAGCAGCGCGCGACTATGAATGCCCGCATATATCATAATCAAAGTGTGCGATTAGCAGCTACGGTTGCTCGGGCTTCCGTTCGCTTGTCAAGTTTTCTTGCTACGAGTAGCCAGCTACCGATTACTATGATGTGTCTGTCCATTTTAGTGCATGTGTGTGTGTGTGTGTGTGTGTGTGTGTGTGTGTGTGAGTCTGTGTTGCATGTTGCAGCGTCTTGTTTAAGATGCCAAGCAATTTTCTTAGACAAACTTTTAACATATATACTTGTATGTTACACATACGCCCCATATGTCCAAACAAAATCAGTCACAAATCAATATGAAAGCAACTTTTGCCTCAAATTGAGTTAAAGGCTCCAACAACAACAATGACAACAACCATAAACTGTTTCGGCATTTGATTATTGGAAGTGTTTCACTACTGTTTTCAAATACAAACTCAGCGAAGCGCTCAATTGTGCGCTCGTTGGCTTGTTGCTGTTAACTTAGCTCAAAGCACACAGACAGAAACACACACACACACATATGGATAACACATACAGTCGCACAATTTCAATTCCTCCAATGCTCGCTCGCTGGCAACCACAAGCAAACCAGAAACACAAAACATTCACAGACCCAACCAACGACCAACCGACCGACCTGCAGTCACCGTTGCCGCCACCGCCACCACCACCACCAGCACCGTTGCTGCTGTCGCCGCCGCAGTCGACGCTACTGCGACAGCAACAGCGACGTCGAGTCGAGGCAGGCAAAGTCAGTCGGCCAACACCGTGAGTGGCGAGTAGTGAGTGAGTGCGCGTCGAGTCAGCGAGCAGCGAGCAGAGCGACGGCTGCTGCTTTTGCTTCTCTGCCTGAGACCGACGAACGACTTGAGCCGCTCGTTTTTGAAATCGCCTCGCGTGTCTTTTCTGTCGCCGCTTGAAGCGCCAAAAGGCCGACGGGACACAACAAGTCAAACATTTTTATTAACACAATATCGTAAATATTAAACGCGCTTTTCATTTAGTTATTGCTTCTTCATATATACTTGTACTTGCTTGCAAAGCAGTGTGTTTTAAGCTACATAATCTCCCAGTGGTGCTGAGCAGAACGGTTCAAACTCATCAAACTCTGTGCAATTTCTCTATTACAACAAATAAAATCAATCAAATTTCGTCTAATTAATGCGTTGGTTTTGGGGCATGGCAACAACAACAACTACAACAACCACAGCAACGACGACGACGACAGCAACACCAACCGCAGCTTTAGCAATTGCAACAACCACAAGCAAAATTAATACCAGTGCTGCACATTACACCCGACCAATTACAATAACAACAACAACGCCAGCTGCCACGCCCACGCCGGCGCCCGCTGCCGGCACAGTGATGCCCAGCGTAAGTGCGGCCGCCGCAGGCATGCCCGGCAGTGGTGGCATGGCAGCCATCTCAACCTCATCCTCCACATCCATGCCCCCACATCTGCAGCTGCTGGGCAGCCTGGAGGCAGCAGCTCAAAGAGTTGCAACGCCCAGCGGAGCACAGCCGTCGGCAACTGCAGCTTCCCTGAATGTCTCACCCACAGGTAAGCAAATAGATTGGTTTATAAAGCAATAAGTACAGGTAAGCAAATGGATTGGTTTATAAAGCCAAGTCGTCCATAAGTATGAATACCGATATGATTGATAAATAATTCGAAATTCGCCGATTTATAATCCAACCAACTGCAAATTTTGTTATTCACAAACATGAGTTCTTGTGTGTTAAAAAGTATATAATAAACTTGTATATACAAGTATGTATCTAACATGCTACATTTTGGCGGTCTATCGTTGCATCTGAAGGACTGTTGGGCCCAAACTTTTAAAGCAAACCTTTAAAACAAACCTTTAAAGCAATGCCGACGCTCTTCAGTCTGTCCAACTCACCATATAACAACAGAAAAAGTGCTTTGTAGCTGAAACTGATTTCATATATTTTTTGCTAGAATTGCTATATTAATGTGATCTGGAACTATCTTGTATTTAACATTCTGATCTTAGATAAATAGTCATCGTATGCTTGAATTGTTCAGGAATCAGTTAGGATTGCAACCTGCTGCATGGGTTCAAGAGTTTAAAGTAATTCCAGAGAAAGGAAGTTCTTGTTTTGCTTCTTAAATATTAATCAGAACTAATAGATAGCATATGGATCAACAACAATTAAAATAAATAAGTATAAGGTATATGAGACTTACACATATTTGAAAAGTTGAGTAAATAGTTATTATATAAAAATCATAGAAACTAATTGTAATGACTTAAGATTTTCTTCCTAAGATTTGATGTAGTAGGGCAGTTTATAAAGCACATAACCAGACATATTTATTAAGGTGATTGTGGTTTTTTTTAATGGTTCATCTATGGTTCAATGGAACGAATTATTCCGATTTCCGATTACAATTGATGCGAAGATGTTCCCAAGGATTATCTTCCGATACTCTCGCAGTTCAAATGCAGCTGCACATCCTTCGTAATCTCTGAATCATGCGCTCTTTCTCACCTCGTTCTTTGTTTGCTTTTTTGAATCCCTTCCTGAGCTTCGTCTTACTTAATGAAAGCTGCCTCAACTCAGCACCTTTTGAGTCTAAACAAACTGTGTAGGGGGAAAAAAATACGGCACACCAGACAAATTTCACTAATTCCATGAAATGACAAGGATACAATTAACAAAAACTACAACAGAGCAGCAGCAGCAACAACAACAACAACAACAATAGCAACAGCACCGACAACAACTTCATACCAAAAGCCAACCACAAAAAACGAAAACTGGTGGCACGCCAAAAGCTGAGCCTGGCGGCTCGTTGGAAAAGCGCAATGATTTGGAAATTTCACAACAGCAACAGCAACAACAACAACAACAGAGACTGCAGCACACAACTGCCAACTGTTTTGGTCTTTCGCACATCAGTGGCAATTTGTTTTGCACAAGTATGGGTTGTCAAATAAAATTAGTTCATGACGGTCGGCGAATGTGGCAATGGTGATGGCGATGGCGATCGAGTGGACACATTCAAGATGCGACTGCCACTGCTTCTGTCGCTGCGTTGAGCTGCCGAGATACTTGTATGTACGATATACATGCATACTCGTATATATACAAGTAGATGTAGAGAGATGGAGAGAGGGGCGACGTAGAGGATACAAGACAACAGCCCAAGCATTGACTTCGCTCTAAAAGGTGTTGGAAGTTGCACAATAAATAAATAATTATAAAAAGAGTCAAGAGGCATAGCCTGAAAAAAATAACATACACACTGAGGCACTCACCACATGGACTTGGGCTTGAGCACGGGCATGTGTATGGGTATGGGCTACATGGCATACATTGAAGTTTAAGCATAGGGCAGAAACCATACTTAAGGTTCTCGGATTACATGGTGCGTGTATTCGCATTATTCTTAGAAAGCCAAGCGTATAAAAGGTGTGCACAATGATTTTCAAGTGTAGCCAGCTCGGCCAGGAGAGGGTCAATTCATATACTAAGTATATATATGTGTGTGTATATGTGTGTGTATGTGTGTGCGTTTGTATGTCAATGAAGCAGCCCAAAAGTCATGCCGGAAATTAGTTGGCCAACAGCAGAATACTAAGCACATTTCAAATACACTATGTACTAGGTGGCTCGTGAAATGTGTGAAGCTTGCAATATTACGCATACGCACCGTTAATTAACTGTAACGACAAATGACTCCGTACGAGTATTCACATTTACTCGGTAATATACGCCTATATTTGTATGCACGAGTCCGCGTACATACATATGTATGTCTGTAGGTACGTGTTCAAAACCAGAAGCACATACTCGTAGATGCGTAATGCGCTGCGCGCGACACACAAGATCAAAGCAGAGAGACAGGGAAAGACAGACAGACAGACAGACAGACAGACAGCGAGAGAGAGAGAGCATGCCGACAGCTGAAGGAGAAGGAGACGAAGTAGAAGAAGGAGATGCGACCACAGCGAGTAAACAAAAAGCGAGCAACTTTAATTTATATGCAGTGCCTGTCTGGCACTGCCTGAGCAGCAACGAGAAGGAGGAGGAGAACGAGAAGGGGAACGAGAAGAAGAAGAAGAAGCATTAGCAGCAATAAGAGCAAGAGCAGCAAAAACACACCGGTAGCAATAAATCAAACTATCAATTGAATTCCGAGGCGATCATCACTTGTGGCGAGCGCGATCGCTTCTTGTTATAAGTCGCCCGGCTTGACATATGGACGTTGAATCGTATGTCGCACACTGGGTAAAAACCCATCGCAAACTCTAGATCCCTCTCAACAAGGACATTTTATGTAAATCAAACCACTTTCTTCACCTGATAACAGAAACAAATTCTTATGCTTCAACTGAAATTCCAATTCTTTCGATAGTAACTGTTTCATAAATATGAAAAATACTCCAAGTTGATATAATTATGTATAGTGGTTACAGAATTGCAAAATATACATATTTACTCATGAAGGCTCGAAATTGAATTTGGTTCCATATAAAGTCGAAAACCACTCAACAAAGTAGTCCATTTTAAAAGTATACTTGTAAATGTATGTACAGGGACAACTCTACCATTCTGAAATCAGATAGGATGTGGAACTGATTATAAGCACTATGTGCTGTTGTCATTTATAAAACAATATAATATTTAAGCTCTGTAGCTTTTTAAATAGGAATAAAATAGTCAAACATGCTTTTATTCTGATTACGAATTCCTTTTAATGCGCTTTTGAGACTGAGAAGAAAATATTTCTCATACGATTCAAAATGCTGTTTTCGACAGGCGGGTAGACTTGCTATTTAATTAAATGTCCTTCAATCTAGTAGGCACAGCCAAGTCCAAATATTAAAATTAGTCGCGGTATACTAACAATTGTTGCATTGGATCAATAGAAAACCTTCAACAACTTCAACTCAGTTCCATTTTAAGGCGAAAAAGTCGGCCTTAATAATGAATATGTGGTTGACTTCAAATGGGGAAATTTTTTTAGGGGCATACATTTGATATCCTGTAATGGTTCTTAAATATAAGTACGTAAGAATATCTCAATTGGGAAATGCTTTGAATCTGTTGATGTTCAACCTTCAAAAGCACAATATATTTAGTTTGTTTAAAATATGAGAACTGTCAGAATAGTCCTTCTCAATGATGATGCGCCTATAATTTGTTTGCCCAAAATATTAGAATTGTCAGAGCAGTCCGAAATCATGCAAAGAGCTTCTGAATGATGATACGCCCATAATTTAGATCAGTGTAAGTGGAGACAGTGTGCGTTGACTGCTTGGATTGTGACGGTGGCTGCGTCTGCATCTGTGTGTCTGTATCTTAGCCTCTGTGCCTGAGCCAGATCGTGCGATTTTAAGCCGATTTTGCAATTGACTGAGGCGCGCTGATGTCGCATTGCCGCTAGTAAATCATCGGCCGTTTCCAATGCACCGCGTTGACATCCGTGCTATAAGCGCAGCGTTCGAAATCGAAATCATCGTCAATAGGCAACAAGCAACGGGCGGCATAAATCAGTGGGCTGACTACAATCGGAGGAGCAGTCAAGCAAACTTGAGCTACTTACGGGTAGCAGTAGCAAGTAGTAACTTTAATTAAATCAGGGGGAGAAAACGGACAGGTCAAAGGGTTCAGAGCAAGAGCATACCAAAGTACCTATCCTACCGTCTGGCATTCACACACACACACACATAAATATACTTGTATATATACTTAGAGTGGCAACTACTTGGCAGCTGGACACTCCGAAAAAAGAGGTGTTAAAATGTGTGCAGTTCTCGCGATCAGATAAAATGTCAAAATGAACATAAAAGCTTCTACATCTGAGGAATTGCTAATCGTTGCCACGATGTGCCACACAATGCACAATCATGACGAACGGCAACAAATTGCGATTGCCACCAGCAGCGACGACAACGAAGGCGACGACGACGATGACGACGACGACGACGACGAGTGCAGGTATTTCATAAATTCCAACTGAAATTAGCAGTACAAGCCAACAGCCAAGACGGTAATGGACCACACCACGTCCACTTGACACGCCATTATGCCCATAAACGTTGACACTTCCGCAGCTCAGGCAGCTGAGAAGGCAGTATAGGCCACTACTCAACGCAACTTGCTCATCTCATCTCCAACACACACACACACACACACACGCACTCACACATACACACTCGCTCGAAGAAGCAGCTCTTTGTCTTATAATCAACTTCGACGTCTTCGATCAAAAACAGACCGAAAATTTGTCCAGTCGGTTCAGACTGTCTGCCCGCTCCTCATCCTTCTCCTCCTCCTCGACTATCCATCGACTGCCCATCAACTGGCGTGCCGGACTACAAATTTCTTGGTGTTTCTGTGTCACGCGCGGAATGTCGGCGGCCGCTTCGTTTAAATTCCAATTGATATTTAATGATTGATCCCCACATCTCTGTCTCTCCTCCACTACCCATTCCAGCGCTCACGCATGGCACTCCGGTACTGGGGACTGGCACTACTGGCACACCACCCGCTCCTACATTGGGCAGCCTCTTCACAGGCGGTGCACCTACAGCTGCCGGCACAAATCTGAATGCCTTGGCCTCCCAGCATCGCCTGCTCGAGCTGTCGCGCTTTGGACTCCGCGGCTATGATCTGGCGCAGCATATGCTCTCGCAACAGGGGGCAGTCACCAAATTATTGGGTAAGTAGTGCTGGATATTATTTAAAAAGAAATTGAATTGTCTAAATACGTAATGAATTTCGTAGAGTAGGTAATAATAGGTAATAATACCGTTATCAAAATAAAATAGATGATCTAGAAGTTAGCTTAGATTAAGACCTCGACCCTTCTGTTTGTAGAAGCTACGGAATAGGTATATGCATACAAATGCATAAAATTACAAGATTTGCAGGAATACTCGTACCATTTCATAGAAATATGTTAATCAAGTTAGAAGTATGAATTTGTCATTTGAGTTAAGAAGATCTTAGTCTACATAGACTTGGTATACATATTAGAGATTTCTTGTATAACACTTACTTAATAGTTGTTTCATCTAACTATGTACAGTGTTTACCAAATTTCTATTAAAAGTTTCAATTCGAAACTGAAAAAGTACTACTTATATTAATTAATTGGTGCTTGAAATTGAATATAATATAAATCAATGATAATTTGATTAACTAGCTATGCCCCGATTCTCAACAATGGCACTAGACTTCGGGCAATAACAACAACCAAAGGAATATTAAATATATTATCGAAGAATATACACCTAATTCTGTTTTTACACGATTTTGATATAACACGGTTTAAAAATTAAAAATTTCATATATATTTCTTTAGAGATAAGGAACCAATCGCCTATTTTTATACCCTGTACCCGTAGGGTAAAAAGGGTATATTAGGTTTGTGCAAAGTATGTAACATACAGAAGGAAGCATCTCCGACCCCATAAAGTATATATATTCTTGATCAGCATGACGAGAGAAATCGATCTAGACATGTCCGTCCGTCTGTCCGTCTGTCCGTCCGTCTGTCCGTCCGTCTGGATGAACGCGAAGATCTCAGAAACTATAAAAGCTAGAATAACCAAAGTTGGCATCCAGATTCTCCTAGGTCCGAGTAAGGACGAGTTTATTTTATTTTTTGGAATTTTCCCCCCCTTCCCCCGCTACAGAATTTCGTCAATAGCGTCCACATTTCAAATGCTACATTAACCAAACTTTGCACACATAATTTATATATAATTGTCTACTGTTGTATATAATTTTATTCAATTCGGTCAATTCTAAGAAAAGTTATTAGCGAAACAAATTCTCGCCAGTACAACCCCCTCAAACTGCAGCAACAAGTTCGCTCTTCTTCTTCCTCTTTTTGCTGTTGCTATGGGCGCATATAACTCAGTGACGGAAGTTTACCTGGGTACAGGGTATTACACTGTCGGGCTTGCTCGACTGTAGCGTTCTCTCTTGTTGCATATGATCAATGTCTTTTTTTTGCACGGTTGTTTCTGGAACTCATCTACCGTGTAAGAACAGAATTAGGTGTATGTATAACTAATTCAATGAAGATTCATTGAAGATTCGCTTTAACGTTATGCTATTATACTTTGGGAACGAAATTGTTAATTTTCTTAAAAATTGTGCAAAGCTTAGTATATTTGTATATTGCAGAAGTATATTTGTTTAGTGTATCATAGAAATGCTCTTATATTGAGCATTATTTAAAGAAATATCTTTACAAAATATTAAATGAAACTATCGCCCTTTCTCCATCTCCATCTCCATCCCCATACCCTCGCTTAAGCAGGGGGCTTCTTGACATTGGTCAAGCTAAGGGACCAACACAATCAGCACTTGGCGACACCTTTTGGTCATTTTGCAAATTGCGTAAAACGGAGAAAACACGCGCCCCAAATGCAGTTGCCATGTGTCCCGGCGCATTAGCGGCCCCAGCGTTGCAATCGATTTGCGCAGCTTCGACGACAAATCGATTCCGGCGCTTGCCATGGTCACACCTGGGCAGTTGGGCAACTAGGCAACTAGGCGCTTAGCTGCTTGGCCACCTGTTGCGCACGTCAGGTCTGCGGGCCGTGTCATTAGCGATTTGTGACAAAAAAAAATTATTCGCGCTTCAAATTGCAATTCCGTGTTCAGAGTGGCTAATTGTCGATTGTCGCAGTGGGGGATTGTGGGTGGCTGTAGCTTTGACCTTCACGGTGGCTGCCGATTAGGCTGCCGCAGATGTATGCAAATGTCAGCGGTTAATTGCTGAAGCGACAACCTATTCGGGCAGGCAACTCTAAATACTCGTAACTAGGGAAACAGCCCAGACAAATGCAATCGCGCGATCTTTGCCGGGCTTGTGGGGCGGGGTGCAGTATGTGGTGGGGTCTGTGACGTGGATCTCAATTCACAATTCATTCATGAGCGCTCATTGTGCGAAGAAAGAGAAACGTTAGTCCAACCCAGCCCATTCATCACCTCAAATTCAAATTGTGTACATAATTTCCGTTTTGTGCAAAATCAAATTTGCATATGCCTCTATTAGTTAGTTAGTTTGCAGGGTTACTAAAGCTAGCTGAGCTTTTAATTTACAAGATAAACAACGCGCCTGTCAACCGCTTCCGATGAATTACACTAGTCATCACAAAAAATGATTCTCTCAGGAAATTATAGTCGCAAAAACCATTTTATTATCTTAAAAAACAATATTTTCAATATTGCATAGAAAGCCAAGAAAGAGATGCTAATTATATTCTTGGGAACACAAGGCAAGCTTGTCCTTTCTCGGACCTAGGAGAATTTGAATACCAAGTTGGTATTGCTAGATCTCTTACTTTCTGAGATCCTTGCTCTTGTACAAACAGACAAGCGGATACAGGATGTATATACTTTTCTCTCCTTCTGTGTATTGCATACTTACACTAATATACCGCTTGAGTACAGGATAAAAATCGTATAAAAGTGGAGAGATCTGGTAATAGAAATATATCTTTTAATGAAAATGATTTAATACTTCAAGAAATCTAAGCTAAGCGCGCAGACATTCTACAGCTCTGCAGGTATAAAAACATTTCTATTCAGATGAATCTCAGCTCCACACTAAGATACTTTTGAAATGACAGGGAAAATAGGAGAAGCACATAAGTATTTGCAAACACTCTAGTAATATATATAGTAAATAAAGAACTGAAGAACGCGAGAGACCAACTTCACGTCTAAGCTACAAGTATACAAGAAATTACTAATATTGCAATATCATGTATAAGTCCAGGAAAATTTGTATTTAAAAAGGAATTGTCTACCATAATTCGAAATGTGTGATCCGCTTCAATAGTTCGAAATAAGAAATGCTAACAGCGGGAGCAAGGTTTTGATTGTTTCAATTTTAAATCAGTTACATCTAGCTAAATATTCATAGGCTGATCTCTAAACTACAAGTATATCCACTAAATTTTAGTTACAGATTTGATTTGTTGTATACCAGTGTCCATATTTTTGTTCACACCAAGCGTAGGCAGAGACTTCGCCTGGCCTGAGCGGCCACAAATTGTCAAATATTCAAATTAGCGCGCCATTGTTTGTCTAGTAGCAGGGGGTACCTATGCCTATTGCAATGTACCCGGCGGGCATTTAACGCCTAACGATCTCAACTATCGTACAGCTTCCCACCCGCCGGCAAAGATCGATTGAATAATGCGAAAATTATTCAGTTAGTACAATGACCAAACTGGCTAATGGGCAACTGGGTGTGACAGCGTTTTCCAACATCTACGGAATATATACATACTATATACACAATAAATCATCAGAGAATAGGGCAATGCAGTGTTATTTGTACAGCCTAAAAAAGGCTATCAACGTCGCTTCGTATTGCACAACAGAATCTGTGAACTGCACTTTTTTTTTTAATTTGTGGTGCAATGGAATCATGAGTTAAATTTGCTATACAATCTACCAGAGGGGTAGATTGTTCAGATTGTGGAGCGCCGTACCTGCTGCTCCATCTACAAGTATATGAATTTGTTCATCTCCGAATTAGTTAAGAGCACCAAACTTTCTGTAGATATTGATCTAATGCTGTAGCAGAATGCAGGCTTTCCCGAGGGAATGATGCCTCCGCAGCGCATTAAATTGAACATTTCTTTACGACCTGTCTCCCACTTATGAGAGAGGCAAAGGCAATCTTGTCCCCAAGAAGAGAACAAGGAACCATCTAGAGTCGCAATTTGTTTCCCCTCTCCTTCATAGGACTGCCTCCTTAATAGTAGAATAGTTAGTACAGTATAGTATAACAGTACAAATCATTATTTTCAATATTATATAAAAAACCCAGAAAGGGATGCTATATTTTTAGGAAAACAAGACAAACTTTTCCTTCTCTTGGACCTAGGAGAATTTGAATACCACGTTTGGTATTTCTAGCTCTCATAATTTCTGAGACATTAATATTACATCTTAAGTGTGACTTTCTCCAACTCTAAAATATGATCATGATAACTAAAGATTATCAAAAATAAATTATACTTATAAGATTCTAAATTAATATCGTAATCGAAGGATTATTTTTGAATTTTGCTAAACAGCTCAGTAAAATAGCTTCCAAAAAATGCATTAATATTTTAAAAATCAAATTGCTTTGTTGATTCGATTAAATATTTTACGATATTCTTACCACTCTTGACACACGTGCATATACCACTATAGTATTACTTATATATGTATAAATGGAACTGTCGATGTGGCCAAGGATAAGATTCTTTTCGTACGGATAAGGATAATTCTGTTTTTACACGGTTTGAAAATACAAAATATTTAATGTTGTTACAGTTCAAAATTATTTTATACGCACTCGAAATAAGCGAATTCGATTAAATTATTTAAGATTATCATCTTAAATTTGTTACACTTAAAAATTGAGTTACCTATTCTTTTTGTTAATCACATATAAATGTTTTTAGTTCCTGATCTTGTGATACATTTAATTTGCATTGCCTTCTTTTAAGCTTGGAGTGCATATCTGTGTTTTCTTTAAAAAATGTATATATGTGATTAAATAAAATAACCATGAATACTTGTTTTAAAAAATTCCTTGTTTTTAACACGGTTTTATTAGCTTCGCCTGTATTTTCACTCATTTCAATGGGTTTTAGAGAGAAGGAAGCAATCACCTATTTTTGCATATGATCGTTGTCTTTTTTTACACGGTTTTTTCTGGATCCAATCTAAAAGAGTGTAAAAACAGAATTAGGTGTAATCAAGTGTAGTTGTAGTTCTTGATTGAATATTTTTCATAGTGATGCATATTATTTTTGCACAAACATCCAGTCCGATAATTATAATTTCCACCATTTTCAGGCACCCTACGACCACCCGGTCTTATTGGTGGCTCCAAGCCGAAGGTGGCTACACCAACCGTTGTTTCGAAAATCGAGCAATACAAACGGGAAAATCCGACAATATTTGCGTGGGAAATACGCGAGAGACTGATAACCGAAGGTGAGTGTGCGCCCAATAGGGATACGAATGGGACAATGCGAACAGAAGAGAGAAGAGAGAAGAGAGGAGCAGGGAAGGGCAGAGTTGAGATCAAAGACAACAACGACTGCACATGTGAGCTAATTAAATGATGGGAACTCCCAAAAGCCAAATTGCACAATAAACGAGACAAGCATCGAGGAAAACAAGCAAGGGTCCCTAGGAGATGCGAACAAAAAACCAAAAAAAAAAAAAAAAAGAAACCGAGGAAGAAGAAGGCAATGTCTGGGAGAATGCGTATGGGCGGGCATACGCGCCTTTTCGATGGCCTGCGAAATGTCAAGAGCGGAGAGTTGGCAGCCAGTTGGCAGTTGGCAGTTGGAGGTAAACTATAGTTGAGGCTGGAATCGGTCGACTCTTGATGTGTTTATGGTGCGGTGGCCAAGACTGAATTAGCCAGAGTTGCTTGCGCGCCGCCGGTGGCTCATTTAATGTTGTAAGAATACGTACGAGTGTATTGTTCCAATGCGAGAGAGTAAGAGATTTATCGATTGGCTAATTTATGAACATCCGCCGGCAAGTTAAGCGAGCAGTCAGCCAGCCAGCCAGCTAGCTAGCCAGTCGACAGTCCAGCAGTCCGGCAGAGTCGATTGATATGTAAATGTGCTCACATTTGTGTCACTCATTTTGGGGCAACCGCTCGCCGCCACCGCTGACGAGGCGACCACAAGCGTAGGCAGTGGCTCAGCACTGCAGTGGCTGCCAGTCATGTTGGCCAAGTCATTCAGTTGGTCGATGAAACGTTGCGATAGGCAGCAACGTCTCGCATAATACAGCAGCCGTGCGGACAGACAGCAGCCAGCCATACACGTACTCGTACAGACTCGAACCTGACAGACAGCGAGTTAGCTTCAGAGTTTTCAGATACAAATCGCGCCTTGTTCTGCTCATTACAGTCAATCGCTAGCTCATTTGTGTCAGCCGTCTTTGGCTTTTCGGGGGTCAGCATGACGCATTGCATCCGGCTGCAGCACAATAATTGTGCCTTCCCTTCATTAATTCCACAGGTGTGTGCACGAATGCGACGGCGCCCTCGGTCTCCTCCATAAATCGCATTTTGCGCAACCGGGCCGCCGAGCGGGCAGCGGCCGAGTTCGCCAGGGCGGCCAGCTATGGATATGCCATGCACCATCCACCCACGCATCCCTACACGAGTTTTCCAACCTGGCCAACGGCCATGCCGGCCCATCATGCGCTCTGGAGTGCCGTCCCCATGGCCACAGCTGCCAATACAAACATGCCTGCGAGCAGTCTAGCCAGTGATGGCCACATTTCCAATTCCAACAACAACAACAACACCAACAGTGGCAGTATCTGCGGAGATAGCAGCGCAGGCAGCGGGGGCCGCCTATCATTGCCAGCGCTTTCGCCAGACTCGGAAAGTCGCGATAGTCACTCACCAGATGCCAATCGGATGATCGGTAAGTGAAAAGCAGAGCCGCTTGTCCGCCCGCCCGTTCGCATGCTCCTGATCTTCTGCACTACTTCCACAGATATCGAGGGCGAGGATAGCGACTCGCAGGATAGTGATCAGCCGAAATTTCGACGCAATCGCACCACGTTCAGTGCAGAGCAGCTCGAGGAACTGGAGAAGGAGTTCGAGAAATCTCATTATCCCTGCGTGAGCACGCGTGAGAAACTGGCGGCGCGCACATCGTTGAGCGAGGCGCGAGTACAGGTGGGTTGTTCTCGCCTTGGACTGCGGACAGAGCCCAGTTTTAGTAAAAATCGTATTTTTTTTTTTCTTTTCGCTGCCCCATTACCTACTAACCACATTGACAACGACCCTAGGACGCAGACGCATGAACATACATATCGAAATGAATTACAAGGCATAAGAATTACCTATAGACTGAGCATGTTTTTATATTAGAATCGCTACTGTCAAAAGTTAAAATGTCTGGGTCATTTTTGATTAAAAGTGTATGCAGATAATCGCACAAAATATCTCCAAAGATTCGTCCTTTTGAGGTTTACACTCAATATGCAAATATTTGCAATTTACTTTACAACTTTCAGAGAAGTCTTCGAGTCCAAGACTAACCCGCCTAATGTGGATAGACCTGGGACTGTAGCACCCTTAGAATTGTGATCCTCCATTACAATTATTGTGCAAAGTTTTCAGACCCATATGTGCTTTATGAACTGCAAAAATTTCAAGGGTGGAAAGCTCTCCGATCAATGCAATTACTTGCAATTTACAACTTTCAGAGAAGTCTTCGAGTCTAAGACTAACCCGCCTAATATGGATAGACCTGGGACTGTAGCACCCTTAGAATTGTGATCCTCCATTACAATTATTGTGCAAAGTTTTCAGACCCATATGTGGTTTATGGACTGCAAAATCTTCAAGAGTGGAAAGCTCTCCGATCAATGCAATTATTTGCAATTTACAACTTTCAGAGAAGTCTTCGAGTCTAAGACTAACCCGCCTAATGTGGATAGACCTGGGACTGTAGCACCCTTAGAATTGTGATCCTCCATTACAATTATTGGGCAATGTTTTCAGACCCATATGTGCTTTATAGACTGCAAAATCTTCAAGAGTGGAAAGCTCTCTGATCAATGCAAATATTTGCAATTTACAACTTTCAGAGAACTCTTCGAGTCTAAGACTAACCCGTCTAATGTGGATACACCTGGGACTGTAGCACTCTTAGAAGTGCGATCCACTACAACTATTAAGCAGAGTTTTTAGACAAACAAACTGCAAAAATTTGAAGGGTGGACGGCTCCCCGATCAATGCAAATATTTTCAATTTGCAGCTCTCAGAGAAGTCTTCGAGTATCAGACTAAGCCGCCTGGACAGACCTGGGCCTAGACCTAGACCTAGACCTACAACCCAGACCAGACCAGACCGGACCGGACCGGACTTACAAACCAATGACCAATGACTCCCACTCTTTTTTTGTCAACTAACAAATTGTCTCTTCGTCGATTGATCAATTAGGTTTGGTTTTCCAACAGACGAGCGAAATGGCGTCGCCATCAACGTGTCAACGTCGTCAAACAGCGCGACTCGATATCTCCGACGCCGCCACCACCACCACCACCATCATCTGCACCACACCAACCACCAACACAGCAACAGCACAACCAATCATCGCTGGCGGTGCCACCACCACTAGCACCGCCGACATCTGCACCAACTATGAACAGTCCCCAACACACCCAGAGACCTTCGATGCCCGTTGCCATCGATGCGACTACAGCTGCGGCCGCAGCGGCAGTGGCAAGCCTGCAATATGCCCACAACCCTGCGGCCTACTACACAGCTCTGGCCAACCAATACGCCACCACTTTGGCGGCCGAGCGCGGCACCACCAGCCCTATACCCGTACGATCAGCGACAGTGGCAAGCTCTGCCCCAACGTCCAGGACGACGACGAACTGCAGCCCGGCGGTGTCTACACCAGCAGCTCCCGGCGCAACAGGACCTCCAACTCCAGCTCCGGCGCCTGCATTACACACAGCATCAGCTCCATTATTAATGGGCGGTGAACACAGCGCTTTTCGAGCGACCCTGCCCTCAGCCTCGGCCGCAGCCCTAGCCCTGAGCTTCGCTCGTCAATATATGGTGGCTGCCATGCACAATGCCAAGCCACACCCGGTGCCGCGGCGGGGAGAGGATGACGAGGATGAGGAAGCTGGGGAGGACGAGGAGGAAATCAATGTGGAGCAGGATGGGGAGGCTACTTAGAGGCGGCATTTTCCACTTAATGTGTACTTCTAGACATAATTCCTATAGCGTTTACTGCGCTGACCTCACGGAACTAACAAATTTGCACCATTTATGAGTAATACTGTATCTGATAGATTTGTCAGTTGTGTGAGTTGTTCGGCTTATCAGTTTCCTATCGCTTTAATTTGACAATTTAGTGCAATTTTTACTTAATTTATTGATTGATTGATTCGATTATTGATTTGATGAGTACAAATAAAGATGGCAAGCGATCTACGCGCATTTCAAATGTACAAAATGGTCTTCATTCTGCAACTAGAATGTCCTTCAATAGTAGAGGGGGAAGTGCCAAAGTATCCAAAGTGTTCATAAACTGAAAATTTCAAATGATCGTATCGTATTGGACGAATCAAAATGGCTCGCACCTTCTCAAATCGTGCAAATATTCTCACGGGTTTCGTATAATTGAAGAAGAATTCGAGTGTGACACCCATGGAGGCGCGAGGGGGGAGCTCGACGCGCACACAAAAATAACTCAAGTGGACAAATCTGACAATTTTGTGGCTACCAAAAAGCAGCGACGCCAAACGCCAAGCCGAGAACGCAGACAACCGAGCAGCCTCTTCGATGTGTAGCTCAGGCTCAAGTGGCTGCCTGGCCCTGGGTGCCTGCGCCTCAAAGACCACGATGAGGCACAGTGGGGTCGCCAGAGAAAAGCAGCAGCGACATCGGGGCAAACGTAATTGAAATCGACAAATAAAAGAACTAAAGGAATAATACAATATGAATATAGTAGCTGATTTGCGAGTCATGCTTGTATAGGCGATTTTTTTAAATCAGTTTAAACTCAAGGTTTTCTGTAAATTAAAATTACACTTTCATACTAAGAAATATAATCCAAAGTTTATTGTTTATGAGAGATAATGGAATTATTATACACAGAAGCACCTTAAAGCATTTCCTCACACTTTAAATGGATATTACTGTACCCAGTACTGGAAGGTCTAGAATGTGTGTAATAGGCAGGGGCAGGAGGCGTGACAGCTCTCTTGATCCTTAACGCCTAGAGACACCAAAACTGACAAACCTAGACTTATCTTATCCATACGCAAAGCAAGTTTTTGTTCTAGAAAGTTTCCGATTTGTGCAAAAACCACATTCTAGAATACATAGAATCAATTTTGTATGAAGGAATCCTAATCAAATTTTGGTATTTACGAATGTTTTATTAGATAGATATTATTATTAGATAGATAGATAGATAGATAGATAGATAGATAGATAGATAGATGGATAGATAGATAGATAGATAGATAGATAGATAGAAAGAAAGATAGATAGATAGATAGATAGATAGATAGATAGATAGATAGATAGATAGATAGATAGATAGATAGATAGATAGATAGATAGATAGATATATAGATAGATAGATAGATAGATAGATAGATAGATAGATAGATAGATAGATAGATAGATAGATAGATAGATAGATAGATAGAAGATAGATAGATAGATAGATAGATAGATAGATAGATAGATAGATAGATAGATAGATAGATAGATAGATAGAAGATAGATAGATAGATAGATAGATAGATAGATAGATAGATAGATAGATAGATAGATAGATAGATAGATAGATAGATAGATAGATAGATAGATAGATAGATAGATAGATAGATAGATAGATAGATAGATAGATAGATAGATAGATAGATAGATAGATAGAAGATAGATAGATAGATAGATAGATAGATAGATAGATAGATAGATAGATAGATAGATAGATAGATAGATAGATAGATAGATAGATAGATAGATAGATAGATAGATAGATAGATAGATAGATAGATAGATAGATAGATAGATAGATAGATAGATAGATAGATAGATAGATAGATAGATAGATAGATAGATAGATAGATAGATAGATAGATAGATAGATAGATAGATAGATAGATAGATAGATAGATAGATAGATAGATAGATCGATAGATAGATAGATAGATAGATAGATAGATAGATAGATAGATAGATAGATAGATAGATAGATAGATAGATAGATATTATTATTCAGATATCGTATAAAAAATGTTCATTTGTAGGCTTTTTATATTGCTTCATCAGCATCTGGCTTTTAGTTTTTAGTAGCTTAGTAGTCTTCCTTACTATATGTAACGTCATCTGATCTGTAATTGTGAAGCCTATTTTTACATTTTGGTCATTTTCGCTTGTTGTGGTCAGTCCGGATAGTTGACCCCTTACGCTATTACCCATAGTTTTCATAGTTTCGACTTACAATTTGTGGCAATATGTATGTCCCCCTTTCAGATAATATATCTAAATAGAGATCATTCTAAATGGATCATAAAGTAATTGTGTTATTTAATTTTCTCGTTCTGCTTTCAATCAAGTAGACTAAATCTTTATCGGAGGGGGCGCTTCGGAATTACTTACTATATATTGATATTATTTGTATTATTAATTATCCTGTTCCACTGTGCGTTATATAGGCCTGGTCTGGGATGATTAATGTGGCTTTAATTACATGCGCTGAGAAGTCATCGTCGACTTCATCGTTGTTGTCGTTGTCGTTGTCGTTGGCGATGTCGATGTCGACGCCGATGTGTATGCGTATGCGTATGCTCGGATGGATCACTATAATTATATAGATGGGCGAATTAAATTTTAATTTAACGCCTGTCAAATCAGAAAACCACTTGTATAATCGTTCGCTTAAGCGAGCAGCAGCAGCAGCAGCCGCCGAAACAGTTATTCATTTCACTTCATTCACTTACTGTCCGACTGACTTCAAATGGGGTACAAGAATCAATCGAACTCTGCGCCGACTGCGCTATTATTGATTGTAATGAGCCACCGAAGGCGTCAACTTCAACGTCAGCATCAACACCGAATCTGAATCTGAAGCTGAAGCAGAAATCCCTTCCCATCTACAGCGAAGAAAGAAAAACGCCTGGCGATAAAATAAAAACAATTAAAACCATGAAATTTACATACCTGCGGCTTTCGATGAGTTGTTGAAATATACGCGCTTGCCTACAACAAAAGGCAACAACAGTGGAGGCTGATGAAATGGACACATGGACCGACACTCTACCTGGGACGAGAGCGTGTGTGTGTGTGTGTGTGTGTGTGTGTAGCTTCCATAAGTCCACCAATGATTTCAATATTTCAAACCATAAACATTGACAGCAACAGCTCAAAAGAAAGTTCGATGTATGGGAGGCAGAAAGATGGCTCAAGAAAAAGTCAGGTCATATTCTTATAATATAATTCCTTTAGATGAGATAGTCTATAATGCACATAAAAAGATCTCCTAAATAGGTGGATATAACGTTAATGGCACCAAGTTTAAATTTGTAAAGACATTCGCTCTTGGGACGATATCGGAAAGAAAGGTTACCCAACATTACCATCAACTGCTTATTAAGAGTATTCAGATTCTTGACGTACATTTCCAAACACTCCTTGGAAACGCCTGGTAGTCCCGATGTCATGCAACTACTGCTAGTCTGTTTAATAACTCTGTGCGCCTCCCCTATTTCCGTTTTCAGTTGGCGCAGCCTGTTCACATTAACAGCAGGACAATCATCTATTCCATTGCCGAAGGTTCCTATAACGTCCCTCATATTGTTGAGGACGCCTCTTGTGCAAATATACGCCTGGGTATCCAAAGTGTCCGCCAGGGTCTCCCAAAACGCTGATGGTATTACAGCTGGCGTTGTATTTGTGTAACAGACGACCAATGGGAGCACACTAGCTAGAATATATACTCGATTAACTTCCATGACTGAGTTGTCGTGCGAGACCAGCACTTGTCCACTAATAGTTTTCCTTCCAAGACAAAGGCTTGAGTAAGCAAAAATCGATTGGATTTACAAGGGTCGTTTTGTCCGTAAAACCAATTATATATACTACGATCAAGCAATCAAACGGTAAAATGTCGAATGTGGACAAAATATTAGTGCAAGCTATTACTTCTTTACTTTACAGCTTGGATCTTGTGGAGTGATATTGTTGTGTAGCCTCGTTTTTTTGAAGTCCAGCGATTTCAGTTTATGACAGATCTATTTTCTTAAAGCAGATATAGATTTCAGAAAATAGGTCTTCCTAAAGAAAGTATTTTTGATGGTATGATGGTCTGTCTATTTGGCCTGCAGTGTCTATTCAGAGCCCCTAAAATATACAAAAACCTACAATTCATCTAAAGGCTTATAGTTTTTATCATCCAGATATCCAATTTATTAAAATCTGTCATAGTGTTTGTGTTTTGATTTCAAAAATTGCTCATCCTATTAATTGCTTACCTAATTAATTGTTGATCCAATTAATAGCCTCAGGCTCTGGCGAATCTTTTATTGTTTTTGTATTTTTACCCTAAGAGTACAATTTGTTCATCCCTATATTAACATCTTCATTCGCCAAGTAACATTTAAGAACTAAATTTGTTAATCATTATTTTTAAATCAGTTTTTTTTTTTTTGGATGAAGAAATATTTCGGAATATAAAATAAGTTGTTAAGGGAAAAGTTGTTGATAGGAAATACTGAAATATCTTAATGTGATCTCAAGTTGGAAGAAATATTTGAATTAAATCTTGAACTATACTACCACTTAATATTCCAATTCAATTTAAATTTTTTTATTATAAAACTGATCAAGTTAAACTAACTGTCTGTTCATAGAACTTATTTTTTATATTGATTCTAAAAGTAGTTCCTCACTCGTACCAATTAGGAGTTGGTTTCTAGGAGACAGGGGTTCGAAAAAACCCCTCATTGTGTCAATCATAAATTTGACCACCAAACTATGAAGTGCCTTTATAATGGGCCAAAAACATTTCAGATGCGCATTACTAAGAATGAACGGGGCACCCGGAGTCAATGCAATAAACTTGTACATTGTGTGCAATGTGTCCACGAGTTTCTTATTCAGGAGGTTGTTGCAATCCCTGGTTTGTGGTGTGCACTCGTCGTATAGTCTTATGACGAACGCAGATATGGTCCACATCTCGTAAATGATCCTGTGCTTCTCTGCTGGAGTTCGGCCGATGCATGTGGTTACTTTATCCTTCAGCTGATAGGCAATAGTTTTCATCTCCGGCACAAGTTTTATAATTTTCGACCAATATTTGTGAATCACCTTTCGAACACTAGCCCAAAAGTTGGAAGGAAGCTTCCAGGACAATGCTAAATTTTTCTCATACTTTTGACAAATTACTTCTCCAAAGTAAATTGAAATAATTATGAGAGCAACAGTTAATATTTTA